GAGGCTTGATCACGTAGAGTCAAACACAAGTCTTCCAGGATACCGTGATACAGAATGAGACTACCCCAGTTTGAAAAGCCTGGTCTCTTAAGAACACTTCTCCACTTGCGATGTGCACAGAAATCATCCCAGATCCTGTCACAATGTGGATTCTGATTCAATGAGCCTGGATTGGATGGAGGTCCCTGTCTGTGAGGAGATCCCTGGTGATGTGTTATGCTAATGTGGCTGATCAGAGCTGGGATCAGGGTGAGGTCAGTGAGGCACTTGCAAGGAGCATAAAACTTAGGATATGCCAAAATACTCAATAATAAAAATAAATAATATTCTAAGCAATATTAAAAAATGAAAATGAAAGCAAAAATATACATGATATAAAAATATCAAAAAATATATATATAATGCAGACGGGACTGTTGTACGTTTTAGCACCCTTCTCTGTCACACAGCAGGAATGCTTGTTTTCATTAGCTGAAAATTCAAACCTGTGCTGTGCTTCCCTGCAGAAACCGCCACACAGGTTTGTGAGGGACAGGAGAGCGGAACAGAGAACATGGCTGAGATTTTATAAGTCATAATTTGTTAATTGTAGAGATTTTATTAATATTTCTCACCTTGTTTAAAATATGGAGGGTAAGTTGAGCTAAGACTCCAATCTGGCTTGCAGGGTACCACTGTCCCTGTTCAGATCACACTGGGAGCAGCAAAGCTACCTTGACTCTCCCTGCAGAGAGCTTTCCTCTCCAGGATGCTCCTCTGTGTCTGAGGCCGTGGTTGCCTGACCTATAGCACCAGCACCATCTAGGAGACTTTTTTGAAATGCACAATCTCCAGTCCCCACAGAAGACTTCTAAGTTAGAATCTGCATTTTAACATGACCCTTGGATGCATTGATAAAAAATAATCTGAGAATCCTGGTTTTACAAATTTCTAATTTCTTTCATTAATAATATGAGCTCTTCTTTATTTGCCTTTTGTGTGCCCCTCAATAGTTCTGGATCTCTGCATTTGGGAGATTTCCACACGTATTTGGTAAAGAAGAAAGTGAACATTTATTTCCTGCAGCATCCTTATATAGTTTAAATTCCTTATTGTATTTCTGAGCCAACAATGATAAATGGCCTCTAGAAAAAAAATTCCATTTTCACGGGGAAGAAAGAAGAAATAAAAAATAAGCAGGCTCTGTGGCCACAGGAATGTTTGACATCTGGCCAGCACCCACTGTTCCTATGTAGAGATGGATAATTTTTCAAGGAGAATGTCAAGACTGACTGCATTAACCTTGAAACATTGGTCCCTTTTGATTGTAAATTCTGCAGCCTTGTGCAGGGGGTGGGGGTGGGGGGGTAATCTAGAGAGAAAAGCAGAGAGAAAGAGTGGTGGTGGAGGGAAATAACACTTGCTCAGAAGCACAATGAAAGATCTCCCTGGAGCTTAGTCTTAGGCAACCTCATAGACAAAATGCCATTGATCTCTAATGTTCTCCTGAATGAAATCCTTACATTTGTTAGGTGAAAATTCAAAACCTTCCACCCCTTCTAGGAAAATAGGTCTCCTTAGAAAAGTTGTTTAAAAAATGCATCTGCTCCTTTTACACCCGTGGAGAACTAGAGTTCTGAAGAATTAAACAACTTAAACTGCATGGAATTATAGAACTTCAATGCTGAGGAACCGTTAGGTAGCTGTTTATCCAGAATGATTTATAACACAGGAATCTCTTCAGACAAGATCCCAGTTTGCCATTGTCAGAATCCATATTTCTCCAGTTCATTGACAAAAGTGTTCATGCAAACACCAGGCATGACATTGCAGTAACTCTTCAGCTGTGTCCAGAGGACAAGCCACAGGGATGTCATGTGAACCAGTAGTTGAAGGGTTGGAAAAAAGGAGAGAAGTAACATTCAAAAAAGCAGCTTGGAGCAGAAGGAAACATGAAAATCACTGGGTCCTGGAATACTATCTATTTCTACTGATTTGATTTTTAAAAAGTCATTTTATTTTACTGTATATCAAAGAAGCCAAAATTAATTGATGAATGAATTTTAGAAACCCACCATTCTACCTACCCTCATCATAAAACTTAATATCAGGATGTAAGAAAAATGCTAATGGACCTACAATAAAATAAAAAATAAAAAAGGATCACCTGCCACTTAAATAGCTATCTAATAAAAAAAAAGGGTTAAGTCTCAGAAACCCACGGCTGAAAAATACCACTTTTCTTTTGACAGCTTAGGTCACAAGCACCACCATTCAGGGACTCTACATTTTAAACCTGCAAAATCCATTTTCCTCCTCGGGTGTTCTTTCCTTTTATTGCAGTGTATATACCACTCAGTTTACTTTGTCTGATATTTGCTTTGACTCTTATCCACTTCATTCCTGTCCTCTCTTTCTTACTCTCTTTTAAAAACTTGGTCCTTGTTGAGAAAGTTGAATTGACAGCCTAAGAGACCCAAATCCTCTGTTTATCCAGACAAAAGTAAAGAGAAAAGCAATGAGAATGAGCGTGTCCCCAGCCTCCAGCGTGCCCTCAGATTGACAGCTGCTCCTGCAGCTCTTGGAAAGCCCCTCAGCCAGGTGACCTGGGAGTCAGGCACTACCTAATGTCTCAGCATTAAACATGGCGGGTAGATGACTCCTGCAAGGAGATAATAGGACCCATGGTCCTCTTAGCTGTACCATTTCTTACCTCAAATTTCAGTGGAGTCAGCACTGCTCAGGCTTTCAAAATTCTGAGTGTGTGAATGTTCGTGTGTGTGTGTGTGTGTGTGTGTGTGTGTGTGTATGTGTGTGTGTGTGTGTGTACTCGTGGCGGTGGGTATGGACCTGTAGTGCATTATCAGACTTTTCATGTATTCTGGCACCTATTACATTGCAGATTTTAATTAGAGTGGTCTCAGAGAATTCCTGAAATTCTGCATTTCTATCAAGTTCTCAGGTGATTCGGATGCTGCTGCTCTAGGGACTACAGTTTAAGTGGCAAGAGTTCTGTTAGGATGAGATCAGAAATATTTGCCACAAGTCAAGTATTTCCTCCCTCAATTATTTCCAGGATTGGTTTCAGGATAGAAATTAGGAAGCTCCCTTATGCGTAAGTCACTAACTCCCTCCAGGGTAAATACCACCACCCCTGGCTTCTTGACAGTGACAGACACTGCTGGGGCCAGGAATCTGTAGTTAAGGAGGATCTTTCTTTGCCTGATAATGTTCTATTACATGTAAAGTCAAGTGTCAGCAGGACTTGGCCAATACAGCTTGGAAAGCCGAGGACACTCATTCCTTGCTCAATATTAATTGGTATAAGGCCTCTCTGTAGTGAGCTTTCAGAATCTCCAACTGGAAAGAATCAGCTGGAGAATGAACCAAATTTTATTCTCCAAATAGCTATGTCACTTCATTTGTTCTTATCATCATAGTTGATTTCAAGACGCTACTATTTTGAGTAATACGCTAAAAAAATTTAAATAGATAGGAACAACTGTTAATTTTTCACTTAGGGAGAATCCCATGCCTAAACTTACTCATTTCTTAAGGCTTATATAAGGATGTGACAAAATCTGTATTTCCTAACAATTTTTTTTAATTTCCCCATAATTGTGGGCTGGAACAGTAAGTCTGACCCATCATGCAACTATTATTCAGTGAATTTCCAAAGAACTTCTTTTCCAAAATGATACAAAACAGTAGATAGAAAACACACAATGAGAAATAGAAAAAAGAAATTGAGGCAGCTGGAAGTTTGGGGTTTCTAAATGAAAAATTATCAAAGGATGTCACAGCTTACAGACATCTTTTAGAAGATAATTGATGTTGCAGAGATATTTTCTTTATATATAAATATGAGAAACTCACATGTGCCTATACAGTGAGAAAATAAAACTTCAAAAGGGAGCAAATATAACTGGGTATTTTATACAAATTTACTTTTTAATATTTTTTCACTATTTTCACTATTTTCTATTAGAGCGTTATAGTTGTACACAGTAGTTGATTTAATTTTGAAAAAATCATACATGCATGGAACTTGACTCACTCCATTTCAGCCTCTGGTGCCCATTTTCCTCCCTTCCTCCCTCCCCTTTTTTTTCTCTATTCTGTTGGTCTTCCTTTCACTCATTTATTCATGTTTAATTGGTGCTTCATAGATAAGGTGGGGAATTGTTTTCTTATATTATTAAATGAGCACCACCTTTAGAGTCTGACCAATGACACGCAGCATCACCTGTTGCCCTCACTGAACCTTGTGCCCTTGCTCTACCTTCTTAGGATCTATTCCCCATTTCTTCTGCTCTTTCCATGTCACATTTTTATACACTTAGGTCAAAAGAAATGATGTACCTTTCTCTTTGCTCTAGAAAAATAAGCAGTATCTCATTTCCATGAGAATTTTTTCTCAAGAAAAAAAGAACTAAATTTCTCAATCTTTAAATTCTAATTTTTTGATTTGAGACTTTTAAAAAAATTAAAAGAGACACCTTCTGATTTGTTCAATAAATATCGTTAAGAATAAAACAATGATTATTTCTCCTGCTCAATAGAAATCATACTTATTTTATGTCCGGGTTTGAGATCATTGGGTTAGTGGGGGTGTATTAGTGAGGACCAGCTCTGGCTGATCCAGTCAGGATGTGCAAACCTCAAATCTATAACTGCAAGGAACTGAACTGAGCCAAGCTCACTTGCTTGAGGTTGAAAGTGGGTTCTTCTCCAGAGCCTCCAAAAAGGACACCAACCCTGGGAAAACTTTGGTGTTGACTGTAAGACTGTAAAAAAGGACCAAGCTGAGCCACTACCATGTTTCTGGACTTAAGTCCAGAATGGGAATTAGGAGATTAGACATTTGTGTTGCTTTGAAGTCACTCACTGGGTTTGTTATGGCAGTGGTTAAAAACTAACACAGAACATATATTAGAGAAAGGATAGCCTCTTCAACAAATGATGCTGGGAAAACTGGAAATTCACATGCCACAAAATGAAATTAAGTCCCTATGTCTCACCATGCACAAAACTCAACTCAAAGTGGGTCAAGGACGTAGGAATTGAACCAGAGACCCTGTGCCTAATAGAAGAAAAAGTAGGTTCAAAACTTCATCACGCTGGAATTGGCTCCGACTTCCTTAATAAGACTCCTATAGCAAAAAGATAAAATAAAATCAGGAATTAATAAATGGGATGGATTCAGACTAAAAAGCTTCTTCTCAGGAAAAGAAACAATCAGTGAGGTAAATAGAAAGCCTAAAGAATGAGAACAAATTTTTACCACATGCACATCAGATAGAGCACTAATCTCTAGGATACATTAAGAACTGAAAAAAACTTAACACAATAACAAATAACCCAATCGATAAATGGGCCAAGGAATTAAACAGACACTTCTCAAAAGACGGTATACAATCAATCAATCAACATATGAAAAAATGTTCATCATCACTAGTAATTATAGAAATGCAAATCAAAACTACTCTAAGATTTCATCTCACTCCAGTCAGAATGGCAGCTATTAAGAATAAAAACAACAGTAAATGTTGGTGAGGATGTGGGGAGAAAGGCACACTCGTACACTGCTGGTGGGACTACAAATTGGTGCAGCCAATCTGGAAAGCAGTATGGAGATTCCTTAGAAAACTTGGAATGGAACCACCATTTGACCCAGCTATCCCACTCCTTGATCTATACACAAAGGACTTAAAAATAGCATACTACAGTGACATGACCACATCAGTGTTTATAGCAACCCAATTCACAATAGCTAAATTGTGGAACCAACCTAGATGCCCTTCAGTAAATGAATGGTTTAAGAAGCTGTGGTATATATACAAATGGAATATTTTTCAGCTTTAAAAGAAAATAAAATTATGACATTTGCAAGTAAATGAGTGGAGTTGGAGATATTATGCTAAGTGAAGTAAGCCAATCCTCCAAAACCAAATGCCAAATGTATTCTCTGATTTGAGGATACTGATCCATAATGGGGATCGGATGGGGGAGACATGGGAAGAAGGGAGGAATTTTAGGTAGGGCAAAGGGAAGAGAGAGGAAAGAAGAGGGCAGGAGGGTAGGAAAGATGGTGGAATGAAGTGAACATTGTTATCTCAATTACGTGTATGAAGACATGAATTGTGTGACTCTACTTTGTGTACAACCAGAGACATGAAAAAATGTGCTCTGTATGTGTACTATGAATTGAAATGCATTCTGCTTTCATGTAAAACAAATTAGAATAATTTTTTTAAAAAAGAAAAAAAACTAACACAGAGATTAAAACTTTAATTGATTCCTCCAACTCTTATAAGTGGAGTGAGTGATCTGAGCAAGGGTCTAGGTAGTAGAAAAACAAAGTTAAAAGCCCCAGGGACTTTCATCCTGCCAGCCCCTGGCTCAAGCCCCAGCAGTTCCCAGGTCACCTGGCCTTGTCAGGAGGCACACTCCTGCTCCCCTTGCACCAGGTGGGTGTTTCAAAGGAGACCTCGAGAGGAGTTAGGGTTTTCATCTTCACAGGGGTAGGGAGGCCAGGTCCACTGTGGTGTCAGAGATGACCACATGGAGCCAGTATTCCCAATCACAGCCAGCGGAAGCCCTCCTCCACAACCACAAAGGGCATGTTGGCACAGGCCTGTAGTCCCAGCAGCCTGGGAGGCTGACGCAGGTGGATTCAAAGTTCAAAGTCAGCCTTAGCAATTTAGCGAGGTCCTAAGCAACTTGGTGATATCCTGTGTCAAAATAAAAAGTAAAAGGGCCGGGATGTGGCTCTGTGGTTCAGTGTCCCTGGGTTCCATCCCTGGTACCAAAAACACAAATAAAAAGAAAAAAAAAGACCTCTTCCATTACAGATAGAAAGAAGACTAATGAGAAACCTGAGTTACAGGGAAGAGGAGCCCAGAAAGAGAAAGAAAGAAAGAAAGAAAGAAAGAAAGAAAGAAAGAAAG